AAAAGTAGCAAGATAAACATAGGGAGAGACAGGGTAGATCACAGGCACTTGGAACGTCTCAATAAAAAAAATTAATGGTAAATAAACACGAAATGTACCAAAGTCTTAATGTTTCTCTACTCTATTTCGCCTATATTCACCTGTAAATGCCGGTGAAATGCTCATCTGCAACACACAAGTACACCGCACGCCCGCACGCCCTGTGCTGCGTGCACAAACAACATGAGTAAGAGATTACATCATCTCCTTACTCATGTTGTTTTATTGAGACGTTCCAAGTGCCTGTGGGGTAGATAGGCAAGACTTAAGGGTGTATAATCCACTTCTACTAAAAATAAAATGAGAGACAACCGCTCGTAACACTTAAAGCTGGCTTAGGAATGTATATTCCGACAGTGCACTACTGTACTAGTATACAAGTTATAGTTCTATGTTGGAGCATCGGTTTGATGTATAATGAGCAATGTAGAAATCATTTCTTGGAAGAAATGGTGGCCCTGAAAAGGGCCGGTTGGTACGTTATCAGTGGGCGTTCAGTGACGTCTCCCTTACTTCTTTGCGGGCTTCTTGGCTTTGGCTGCCTTTGCTGGCGCTTTCTTTGGCTTAGTTGCCTTTGCTGGTGCTTTCTTCGCCTTGACTGCCTTCTTTGCCGGCGCTGCCTTCTTCGGTGGTGATTTCGCAGCTTTGGCCTTCTTGGCTGCTGGTTTCTTTGGTGACTTGGTCGCCTTCTTAGCTGCGGGCTTTGCTTTCACTGCTTGCTTCGTTGCCGGTTTCTTCACGGCCTTTGCCGTTGGTTTATTTTCGGTCGTTGCTTTCTTCTCTCCTGCGCTGAGCTTGAATGAACCAGAGGCACCCTTGCCTTTTGTCTGTATCAGCTTACCATTGGCCGCACTAGACTTCAAGTAGCGACGGATGAAGGGAGACATCTTCTCCACGTCCACCTTGTAGTGACTAGCGATGTACTTCTTGATGGCTTGCAGGGAGGATCCGCCCCTCTCTGCTAGATTCTTGATGGCCGCATTCACCATCTCGGCCGTAGGTGGATGTTGTGCCGGCGCTTTCGGTTTCTTCGCTGCCGGCGCCTTGGTCTTCTTCTTCGGTGAAGCGGGTGCCGGGGCGGCTACTGCTGCAGCATCT